CCAATGGCATGGAATCCCCAGGATGAAGTGTGGTGGCTGAAGCTACAACAAAATGTTAAAAACACAATTTTATTTTTAATGATTATAAATCTGAGAACTTTAATGTACATTTCTTTCATCTATTATTCAATTATTAAAATTATATTAATTAAGCATGGAATTTCATACTTATGAAAATAACATGTGACAGCTAATTCAGAGAATCCTCTTGATAACAACTCTCACTGGCAGCCCTCTGGATCATCAATTTTTAGTGCTGGATGAATCTGAGAGATCCAATATTTTAATCCTCCTATTCTACAGGGATGATAGTAGTAACATCAGGGAGATAAAATGACTTTCCCAAACTAACAGTGGTGAAGAGTTCAATATTAAGTGACATTTCTCTAGTTCTCACAGTCCATGGGTTCTTTTCCATATTGTAATGCATTTTCTTTGATTAAAAACAAGCCATAACTGGGAGCTGTGGCACAAGCCTATAATCCTGGAGGCTGAGGCAGAAGGATCGCAGAGTTCAAAGCCAAACTCAGAAACTTAGCTAGGGCCCAAACAATTCAGCGAGACCCAGTCTCTAAATAAAATATAAAAAAAGGCAGGGGATGTACATGGCTCAGCGGCTAACCTGATAACCTCTGGCTATCACCGGTACCAAACAACAAAATACATGTTTTACTCTCCTACTGCTCTTTCATGGGTTAGTATCATACCTCACACATTGTAGGCAGTAATATATAGAAGTTAGACTAATATAACTACTTACTAAAAATGCATCTTCACCTTGAATAGAGTGCCAATGGCTCCCATGTGTATAAGGGTATGTATATTTCCAGTGAAACAAATATTTAAGATGCTTCCAGGCAAAGAGTTTAAGACATTATTCCCATCCAACATATCAAAAAAAAAATTAAAAATGCCAACATTATTTTACTCTTTAAACATATATAAAGTTATATTGTATATATATAGTTATTTAGCTTTTTCTCATTAAAATGTTCTTATCGATTAAGTTCTGGACTTTGGAAATTACAAAAGCAATTCATATCATAATGTACCAATCATTAATGAAATTTGGCTTCCTTAGATTCTTAGCTAAACGCAATCGTGACATTCGCGAATATTTCCCTTATGTATAACAGTAGGAATAAATGCCGAGTCATTGGGGAAAGCGAGACTTTTTTTTTGGAAAGCCAAAGGAAAATGTCAAAGAAGATCGGTAACCTGCACCCTGGTGTAACTCCATTCCATAGAGGCAGCCAGAAATGAGTTTTTAAATTCAGGAGCAGCCCCTTGCTGTTTCTCCCTCACCCGGACAGCCCTTGAAGGTAAAGATGCATTCATTCGGTTCTACCTCTACGGCCCGGGGCAGCTTCTCACTATTTCCAAGTGGGCACCGGAACCTTCGGGAATTCTGCTGCCCCGGGGAGGACTGACCCTGCCCTCCGGGGTCTTCCGTTCGCCACTGAGCCTAGGCTGGCCTCGCGGCGCCACCGCTGCCAGTTCACAGGTACAGGGCACCCGTGCCCAGAAGCAGGAACGCCTCTACTAGCCGCGCCAGAACCCTAGTGCCTGAGCCGAGTCCCACCGCCAAGGCCCACTCCACTCCCGGAGACTGGAGCAGCAGCTGCGACCATTGTTGCCTTTACCGGCTTGGAGGCGGCCATGTTGAGTGTTCTGTGCCACCGCCTCCGAGACACCAGGTATTGTGAAAAGAAGTCCCCACCAAGTAAAGGAAAGCAATGAGCAATAGCACACACTTGGAAGCCAGAACAGACGGCAGGAAAGGGGCAGGGTCGCCGGAAGCCCAGGGCATGCCGGGAAGACCTAGCCTTGGGTTTCCTCCACTCTCAACGGTAGGGGAGATCACTTCCGGGTTGGAGGAAACGGTGTGCGGTGGGCGTTCCTAGACAAGCCCTTTCTCTTTCCTTTCGCCTCGCTGCTGTTTGGGAGTATCACTTCTGGGGCCTTGGGCCTTCCGTGGTAGCAGATATCCTCCAGTCCACCTTTAGGATGAAAGGACAGATGGTCCTCTTGCCTAGCGGGGCGGAGGAGGGCGCACAGCGCGCAAGGGTGGGCGGGCAATTAGATCACCGGGAACGCTCCGGGGGGGCACTCTGATTGGGCGGGACAGACGGAAAAAGTGTGGGAGTTATAGGCTGGCAGGGATGGTGGGCGGGGCGTAGGCCGAGCTGCTCAGCTGATTGGTAGGTTTTGGATCCCGTTTTCCCCTTTCCGCCCCTTGGCTTTTCTTGAACTTGGGCAGCCCTTTAACTCAGCTGCGCACGTGTAGAGGAAATCAACTGATTGGAAGGACTTTAAAAGTGAGCGAGGGAAGAGGTGAAAATAGCTTAGTGTATCGTCCATCTTTTAATCTCTCCCATAGCCAGATTTTAGTTTAGACTAATTTGAGGTTATGGGGGCAATAGCAGGGGGCAAAAAAACTAGGTTGAAACCGACAAAGGCAGGGTGATTCCAATCCAAAAGGGTTGATCCGGGTTCCTGCGACTCTTAGTCTGAACCAGTTAGGAAAGCAATGATGTGTACACTGTTAAGAGACTCTCGAAGTGACTAGGTAGAAATGCGAGGCCCCAGGCTTCCCACCTGCTTCCAGTCTTCCTTGTGTAGTGGTATCTTGAGCTGGATCCCATCTGACAACCCAACCCACTCCAGGCTCCCTGAAGTCATGTGCCTGCCCCAGTGCTCTGATCTGCCCACCCTCGTGCTTGTTTTGCAATGTCTTCAGCTATCCAGTCATGTCCAAAATGTGATTTCAATTCATAGCTTTTATATCTCCAAAAGCTTTGTCAAGTGTTTTTCCTTTGCTGTGTGCGTGACCACTTAAATATGAAACTGTTGCAAGGTATTTAGAGTTAACACTATTTTCAAGGAAAAAAAAAAAAAAGGCAAGTAGAACAGAGAATGAGAATGCATAACTGGCTCCTCATTTCAGGTATAGTGGTTTGCCGACCCTTACATTGAAACTTTATAAATGATCATTTGACTTTTGAGTACAGGAGGATTTTCAACATCACAGAAGTGCTAAAGGAAAGAGAAAGAAAATTATTAAGTAGCACTCATGTTGATTTAAAATCGAATGGCCTAAACTGAAAGAGTTTCAGAATCATTGCTTTTCTCTTGCTTCATGTAGATTCCTATCAGGACATTGCTTTTAAGCAATAGGTTTTCTTAGCCACAAACTAAGAAAATAGGCTAAACATATGGGAGTGGAATCAATTTGATCAGATAGTGATTGTTAGAGGTGAACTGCTTTCTCCCCACCTGATTCATCACCCAAAAGGTAGATCTCTTGTCTCTTGATGTGATCTTGACCTTGCCTTTTAAGAAAATATTCCTGAAATTTCAGTTTTTCTGTGGCATCTTGGAGCATTGTGTAATGCAAGCATTTATAAACTGTTGGTTGGAACTAAAACATTGAAATTCAAATATTTCAAAAAGGATTGCTTATTTATTGGAATAGTCAATAATATATTGTTATGCTTAAGATCCAGAATTTATAAAGGTTTAGTGTTAAAAGTCTACCTTGGGACTAAAGGGATATAGCCACATCAATGTTTATAGCAACATGATTCACAGTAGCTAAACTGTGGAACCAACCTAGATGCCCATCAGTTAATGAAGTGATAAAGAAAATGTGGTATATATACACAATGAAGTACTATTTATCATTAAAAAAGAATAAAATCATGGCATTTGCAGGTAAGTGGATGGAGTTGGAGAATATAATGCTAAGTTCGCCAATCCTCAAAAACCAAATGCTGAATGTTTTCTCTGACATAAGAATGCTAATTCATAATGGGGTTGGGTGGGGAACATGGGTGAATTAAATGAACTCCAGATAGTAGGAGGGGAAGGGAGGGGTCATGGGGGTAGGAAAGACAAAACGGTGGAATGAGATGGACATCATTACCCTAACTATGTGTATGAAGACACTAATGGTATGACTCTACTTTGTGTACAACCAGAGATGTGAAAAAGTGTGCTCTATATGTGTGATATGAATTGTAATACATTCTGCTATCCTATATAACAAATTAGAATAAAAAATGTCTCCCTTGGGGTTGGGGTTATGGAGTGGTAGAGCGCTTGCCTCTCATGTGAGGCACTGGGTTCAATTCTCAGCACCATATATAAATAAATGAAGAAAATAAAGATCCATCAACAACTAAGAAAGAGTATTAAAAGAAAAAAGTCTGCCTCATTCCCTTCCCCCAGCCACACAATTCCCCTCTTAAAAGGGAATGAATGTTAAGAGTTTCTTGAATCATTTTTTTATCAACTAATATCCCTCTAAAGGATTGATTCAATTTTTAGAATAGGCATTTTTGCAAATGAATTCATACTTGTTGCTTTTATACTTTTAGAAAAGATTTTAATTCCACTCCTTGCTTATTCCTCTCTTTTTTTTCCATTTCCTAATTTCATGTAGTGTAGACCTGAATTCACAATTACAGGCTTTTTTACCTTACTGACTGAATGCATAATTTTCTAAGTTGCGAAATGGTGAAAACACACTCCTTTCAGCTTATGGTAAGGATTTAATTAGATAATATTTAGTCCTTTTGATTTGTTCCAAACCAGTATTCAATGCTTAGCTCTCTGTTTTTCTAAATATTAAAGAATAAAAGTCAAAAACAAACCCATGATTCTAAAAGAAATGGAAATTTTGTATATGTGAACATTTTCTTGATAGATGAACAGAACTCAAAAGAAACTGTTTTCTCTCTTTGATCTGTATCTTTGGAGGCAATTGAATGAGGTAGAAAACTATAATGGATTGGCATTTGGAAGCCTTGAGTTCTTATTTTAGATGTCAATATCACTGAACTGTGTCACTGTTAAGAAACTTTGCTTTCTTTGTAATGTGAATGGTGACTTAGATGATCGATTTATAAGTCTCCTTATTGTTTTTAAAATGTGTGATTCTAGGTTGGTGCATTGGCACACATCTGTAATCCCAGTGGCTCCAGAGGCCGAGGCAGAAGGATTGCGAGTTCAAAGCCAGTCTCAGCAAAGAGGAGGTGCTTAACAACTCAGTGAGATCCTGTCTCTCAGTAAAATACAAAATAGGTCTGGGCATGTGGCTCAGTGGTCAAGCGCCCCTGAGTTCAATCCCTGGTACTCCCCCAGACCACCACCAAAAAAAATGTATGATTCTTCCTGGTTGACTGAAGGTATTGTAGGGGACATATGAGGCAGGGCACCAAAGATAGCAGGAAACAGTTTTATTTGGTTGCAGCCAGGTTCAGAGGGAACAGATTTTGCTGTAATCAATTATTCCCCTGCACCCCAACACCCCAGGATCAGGTAGTTTCAGAACTTTAAACCCAGCGTGTAAGGGGAGGGGCTCAGAAGTTCACAGTCTGCAGAAGTTCACCTAAAAGCAGCTTTTTCTTTCACTGTTTTGGACTAGTTAACCCTTCAAGGACAACACCTGAGAAGGGGAGAGCTTCTTCGCCCCTTTCTTTCCTCTCCCTGCAAGCTGTTACCATGGAGCCCAATTGGTAATTTATCTTAGAAATGCAGACATCTCTGTGAAGCTCCAGCTCAAAGCTAAGAGGCCTTGTTAAAGGATTTGTCTTTTAATTATCACATTTTGCATTTGCAAACACACTTTTACAAACTACTACATTGGATAAATGTCTGTGAAAAACTAGTAAAGGGGCGTTAAGCACCTAAAGTGCTGACTTTTCACAGGCCAATGGCCAAATAAAATAGATTAACAGGAAAATAGGAAGTTTACCTACATTGAACTCTTTTGTAGAGACTCTTATGCTGATAGACCTAAAATCAATTATGATGAAGATTTCTGGAGAAGCTAAGTTACGATGTTCTGTGGAGAAGGGGGTGCCACTACAAAGAGTGTCCAGACCTTCTGGTGAGTTCATAAATGTGCTTATTTTAAGCACATACCTATACAGCTCTCTTCTCTTTCATTTCGGCCTTAGGTTTTCATTCTCTCCATTCCTCTTTACTGAAAAATTACCGGAAAGAATTATCTCCACCTGTTAGTTCTATTTATTTATCATCCATTTCCAATCTGTTGTAACCTAGTTTAACTTTATAATTTTTGTGAATCTGCTTTGGAAATTTAAAAAATTTATTTTTGTTTGGAACATCATGCAGTATTATGTGATACCATTGTCCTTAAAATGTTTTCTCTCCGTGTTTCAGAGAAGATATTCAGACTAGATTTTCCTGATTCTATTCTCTAACCATTCTCTAGAATTAATGTAAATAGTTCCATGTGACTAATGGCTACTCTACTGGACAAAACAGCTCTAGTGCTTCCTGAAATACAGGAATTCATAAGAACTTATCTTCTTTTGTTTTGTAATCTCTTCAGTGTGTAAGAAAAGCACATCTCATTGCTTCAGATGCCATTTCTATACAAATTATCTAAATGTTTCTTGCCCTGATTTCTGGCTTTATATTTTCTACTACTTACAGAGAAGCTTTGCTTGGATGCTTCATTTTGTCAACTACAAGAAGCATCAATAAATAAATCATTTGCCCTCCCCATTCTTTCATTTTGTGTAATCCTTTTGTTCTTATATTACCTTTATTACATTGCTAGTGACCCCACTTGAAGCCTTAAACCTTTTTAGGAATTTAATAACCCTACCCACCCAAACAAAAGTGATTATACACATATATTCACATGGAAACAGAAAATCAACTGTGAAGCCTTCAACAAGACCAACTTTATTGTAACATTTTTATGTTTTTCTGCTTTTCATTCCTAGTTGAAATATGAAATACTTAATTATCTGGGACATAACATATGCTTAGAAACATGACACATTTCTTATTGTCTTAATTCAGGCGGCTATAACAAAACAGATTTGTTGGGTTATAAGCAGTAGAAGTTTGGTTTTCACATTTCTGGAGTGTGGATTTACAATCAAAATGCCAGTATGATCACATTCTGGTGAGGGTCCTTTTCCAGGTACAGACTCTTGAGTTTTTATAGTACAGTCACATGGTATATACAAGCAAGAGAGCTATATGCAGTATCTTTTAGAAGATCTAGCCACCTCCTAAGGTCCCTACATCTTAATACCATCACATTGGGATAATTATTTCAACATATTAATTGGGGTTATGGCACAAACATTTAATCAATAACACCTCCTTTTTTCTCTTTTATCTATTTCCCTTGTCTTTTCTGAACCCCATATTTGCTTCTCAGATGCCTTCCCTGTCCCTAGTATCTCTCTTCTATGTGTCACCCATGCATTTAGATACCAGATTACTTTTTGTACAGCATAATTACAATTTCATTCTGAAGCTCAAAGACTTTTATAACCTTTGCATTTCCACTATAATGTTAAATGTCTCTGTTCTCCTGTATCTCTCCTCACCCATGTCCTTTATCTTTTTGATCCATATTACTAATAGTAAGATGTGCTTGAAATTACTTATGGTACTCCTTATGTTAAAATATAAGCTCCATGAGGTCAGAAACTTTGTTCATCTTGTCCTCCCAGAGTCTAGCAAATATTTGGTATGATGGCTAATTTTATGTGTCATTTTACTGGGTCATGGGGTGCCCAGATATTTGGTAAAACATAATTTTGGTTGTATTTGTCAGGGTATTTTGGATGAGATTAATATTTCAGTTGATGGTTTGAGTAAAGGAGATCACCATCCCAAATGCGGTTGGCTCTCATCCAATCAGTTGAAGACCTGAATAAGACAAAGCCTGACCTTTCCCTGAGTCTGGCTGTCTTGAGATAGAACATTGATCTTTTCTGCTTTGGACTTGAACTGAAACATTGGCTTTTCTTGGTTCTCAAGCCTGCTAGTTTTTAGGTTGGAACTACACTTTCAGACTATGACACCAGACATCAGCTTATATTTCTTCCTGACAACTAACACATTGCCATAATTACATTTTGTTTGTGTACTACCATGCTTAATTCTGAGTCTTTGAAGGGTGGAGTCCATGTTCTAATCATCTTTGTACTCCTGCATCTATTACAGGATTGGACATATAGTTGGTGCTTTTTAACTTGTTTTCCCACCCAACACAATACCTGAAATATGGTTGATGCAGCATGAAGAACTCATTGAATGAGTTCCTAACTGCTGCTGCATTTCCATTACTCTTGCCACCAATGTGACCAAAACCACTAGTGTCAGCTAGGAAACAAACTCATTTGCTACTCCTGCACCAGAAATAGTCAGCTTCCAATACACCCACCATCATAGCTGCTAGTTCTAGTCGCTAGCATGCTGTGACACTGCTCCTATCTCCACCATTGCAGCTGCTTCCGAAGGGACCTGATTGGTTTGTACTTTGTACACTAATGCTATATAGAATCCTCTGTTATCCTGGGCGTTTTTTCCTCATACTGTTAGTTTTTTTTCCCTGATTCTGATTATTTCTGCCTTATGACAGAAGTTGTTCTGTGATAGCATCAGCTGAGTGGGAGGTATTGCTTTTCTGCTCAGGGAAAATGTCATGTTATGTTTCAATCAAGTGGATGTTCTTTTTGCTGTCAGAATTTGTTGACATTTGTCTTTAGGGAATCTATGGTAACTCTAGTTTCCTCTTTTTCTCTGTGAGATTGATCAATCTATCATCTGTCATACTCATATGCCATCTTTTTGCCCACTCACACAGATTTATAAAATCTTTCCATCCTTATCAGTTTAATTCATTGCCATCCACAAGAATTTGTGTCATTTCCAATGTAGAAATGTTTTCTTGCACTTTAATTTATAAAGATATTACATATTGTAAGAGTAAAAGAAATTGAAGTTAAAGTGTAAAAGACCGGGTAACGTAAAGTTTCTAAGCTGCAAAGCCTGAGTTAAAATGTAAAGGACCAGGTATTGTTAAGTTCCTATGCTACACCCAAAACCTGAAATTCCTGTAGCTGTTAGGACAATTCCCGGGACTTCCCAGTAAATATTCCCCCTCGCCATCTAGTTGTTTAATAACCTAGGACCCTGTGCAGCTTGGCACGTAGGCATCTCAGGGCCTAAACCAATCAGTTTGAATGTGTACCCCTCTTTAGAACTGACCTATCACCCCTGCCCGACCTGTTTCCGCCAATGAATGTGCTAATCAAGTTTGAGAGTTGTTGTTCGATTTTCCCGCGCCTCATGATGATTTGTTCTGATGTATGCAAAGCCCCCGCCCTCCCCAAAAAGTGTACTTAAGCACTGCTTAACCTCTGCTCTGGGCTCCTGGCCGCTCTCCCTTCTTGAGTGAGCCTGGAGCCCCAGCGCGCTGGATTGGATCCTCAATAAATCCCCTTTTGCTGTTGCATGAGCCGGTCTCTTGGTGGTCTCTTCCTCCGACGTTCGCTGGACCCTTACAATATGGATTATGCCATTGTGCTCTGCATCATGATGCTGGGACATGAGGTCTGACCTAAACTTTGCTTACCCAAGTCTAACTGAGTCTTCCTGGAGAACAGTGCTCTGTTTTATGACTTGCATTGCTGAGAGCCATAGCCAAGTAGGAATGACGAATGGCAATTTCTTTGTCAGCCTACCCAATATTGCTTAGAGGGAGGACTCTCCATTGTGGAAATGGGCTTGCCTTGGACCCAGGTCATTTGCAGTGACATTGCATGAATGTTTGAGAAAGGTGACCCTGCTGAAGGACCAGGGTGGATCCGGGTTTAGGGAGGATCCTGCTGGATTAGGGCGGTTCCAGGTTTAAGGTGGACCCTGCTGGGAATAGGGCATATCCTGCTGCCTCAGGCGCCCGCCCGCCCGCTCCTTGAGTTCCCGTTGAGTTCTCACGGGATTCAGAGAGTATTTTGGGATGCAGAGCAGAGTGCCGGTGAATTTGCCCCAGAACGTGCGTGTAGAGTGCTGGTGACAGTTCGAGAATAAAGAGTTGCTGTTTGAATCTACAAGGCTGTGAGTGGCTCGTGATTTTGTGCCCAGCTAGACTGCGGCATTGCATGAAGACACTGGTCCATTGCTAAGTGAAAGGCCTAGAGTGATGCATCCATACAAAATGACACTTTTAAAATTCACTCCTGTTAGACTGTTACCCCTGATTATGTAGTCCTGACCTTTGCATTGGTCTAGGCTGGAACCTGAAAGCCTCTGGGCTATGCTTTCCTAGATTTACCTTTTGTTATTTTTTCATAGCCAGTAGAAAATAACCTCATCTCCAACAATGAGATACTCAATTTTATTAAATTATGAATATAAACTTAAAGCCACAAAAATAGTTTCTGTACATATGTTCCAGATATATATTGCTGCTTCATAAACTTCACCAAAACTTGATGGATTAAACAATTATTTTATTAGCTTTCATTATTTTGTTGCTTTTGAATTTTGGCACAGCTTGATAGACTGCTGCTATCAACAGAGATTACTCAATGATATTCAGTTGGTGGGCAAGTTTGTGTGGAAGGTTCAAAATGGCTTAATCAAGGTTAATCAAAAAGGAGAACAACCCCAGTGTATCTGACCTATTCAAGTGAGCCCTTGAGGGAGGTTAAAGCTATTGGGAGTGAAAAAAGCACTCCCAATGAAAAACCAGCCTCTAAAGCCTGTCCAAGGAAGGGACATGACCTTAGTCCTTGGAAAATCCCACAGAGCACTCCTAAGCACATTCCCACCCTGCTAAGTTGTTTATCTACAAATAACAGGAGAGATCTGCTGCGCCAGGTGTCCCTGACTCAGTCAGGCTAGGTGGGGATCCATAGCAGCCCCCTAGCAGCCACCAATCAGCATGAGACAGGGAAATACCTGGGATGCCAGATGACCCTCCCAATGGTTTATGGTGGTTAATAACAAGTTGGGAAACCATGTAGTTCAGCATGTACACCCCTCTTGGCTCAAACCAATCAGTTCAAACGAATACCCCTTTGTACTGACCAATCACCCCTACCCAACTTG